GATGAGTGCAATGTTGTGTGGCACATTAATCGATTAATTAGATATAAACATGGTCATGTACCTGTTTGTTAGATAAGCCCCAATAGGAACTCTAATATTACACACAAATTCATTCTATGAAAGAGAAGAGGATTTTTTTTGCTTATAATGGCAAAGATCAATAGAGTTAAGGATACGATTAATACTAATATTAATTGTGCTTGATGTGGAAAAGAATGAAAACTTGATTTTGGGTTTTACCTATTAGACTGATAGATCTTTATAGAAATTGTTCATATTATGAAGAAAAAGCAAAAAAGCTGTTATTTGATGTTAATGCCTTATTTTACTGAGTTGGAAGTCAATGCTTTCTTTTCTTTTTCTTATCTTTCCTCACTCCTCCTTTCCTTCCCCACTGCTTTTCTATTTACTTTATATTTTGTATTTTATAATACTTTATAATTCAATTAAAACATGTCGACAATGATACTATTGAAGTACAAGGACAACATCTTCATGCTTTTATAAAATTCCTTCCCATTTGTTTGCTATCATGGTAAGCTGAGATATTTCTTTCCTTCCTGCAAAATTTTGACTATACCTGTATTAGTGTATATGCATTTGATGTGAATGGTTTCATGTTTCAAGTGATATTTCAGAACGTTAGGCTAAGTCATAATGCAAGTTGCTTCGGTTTACATGAAAACAGACATTGTGATATGAAGTCCACGGTGTATGGATTTGGAATATTTTTCAGATGCAGCAAGGATTGTGGACTTTTGGGAAACACTTCACTTACTTCTGCTTTATCTGATTTGCTTTGCCAAATCAATGAGTTCTGTACTAAAAAAGGTACTACTGATACTTCAGCGAATTTTAGACATGGCAAGGCTTTTTTGTGGTGTTTCTGCCACTATCTGAATCTGAACATGTCTCCAAATGTCCCAACCACTTTTCCCAGCAAATATGCTTTTTTCTTTAGCAGAAAAAAAGGACTTGCTATCATACCCAGCGGGTCTGGTTGTAACATTGATGAGGGTGACTAGATGAGGTATTGAACCAGAGGAAATGGCATGACATTCCTAGAGGATTCTTCGTGCATAGGGATTCATGATGTGAATAGTATAAAAATGATCATAAGGTGCATATTGGGTATGCAATAGAAAAATGGGTTTAAACTATGGATGGCTCATTCTTACTCTAATATGGTTTATTTAGTGAAATTCTGAACCAATTAGGATTTAATGCTATACACCAGGGGTGTCAAACTCAAGGCCTGGGGGCCAGATCCAGCCTGCGTGGTGCTTAGATCTGGGCCGGTGGCCCACCCTGGAAACAACGGACTGCCTGCGGTGCCTCTGATAGTGAAAATGGAGCTCAGGAGAGCTGCATGCTCTATTTCTGCTGGCAGAGGGTTGCAAGAGGCCGTCGCAGCCAAAAATGGAGCTTGGGAGCCTGTTTTCACTGGAGAGAACTCAAGGCACCACAGGCGCCCCAATATGAGTGATGTCAAGCTGGCCACGCCCATCCTGGCCACACCTACCCCAGCCCCCTGAGGTCAAACACAACCCTGATGCAGCCCTCAATGAAATCAAGTTTGACACCCCTGTTATACATAGATGGGACATAGAACAACTGACACTTTGAATGTTGGCATACATTAAAATGAAATTTCATTGCATAAACCAGGTGACTAGCTTCTTTAAAATTTGTTCTTTTTTAAAAAAACAACTAATTCTTGAAGTGATCATCTTTGAAACCACACATGGGGGCAGAGACTCTTTTGCAATTTTTAGAACAGGAATTACTTGGCAGAAACACCATCTCTCCCATATATCCTGTGACTGGCTGAATAAGAACCTCCACTTCTTGACAGAAAGGATCTGAAGGAACACAGGACTTCAAGCAAAGTAAGAGGGCAGATTGTGTGAATTCATGGATGACAACTCAAGGAACAGCAGCTACAGATAAGTAACTATTTCTTATGAGCATTGTGACTTAACCCGAGTGAGTAAAAAGTTGCTTACCTGAAGCAGCATTTGGGTACCATATATGACATGACTCAAATAATTTGGCCCTTTCAAATGTCTGGGAATAGATATCTAATCCAGTGACCTCCAACCATTTGGGGCACCAGGGACAGGTTATGTGGAGAAAGGTTTTTCTGTGGACCAGAGGGGGCGTGGGTTTGCATGCTGCCTGCATCTGCAGATGGGGCTTCACTTGTTTGCGTGGACCAGTTTCTGGCATGCCACAAACCGGTGCTGGTCCATGTACCGGGGGTTGGGGATCCCTGATCTAATCTATAATGAAAGGTTGAGCCCATGCAGTTACCTAGTACAACTACAGTCAGGAAATGCTTGAGAGAAAGTCTATGATGCTCGTGTGGGAACAAAGCAGGTTGAAAGAGGGCTTTAGCTGTTTGATCACCTCACAAACTACGGCTACTGCTGTTCATTTGGAGAATTGCTGTGAAAAAGGCCATATCCTTTAGATGTCCCTTGGAAGGGCAGGAATACATGTTGATCTATGTGAAACAGTGCCATATCTCAAGATGAAAAGGAAAAATACATCTAAATAATGAAATGGTGTTCTCAATGATGCTGGAGATGTTAAGAAAAAAGCAAACAATATAAGGAAGAAGAAAGGATTCCAAATTTTATCCTTAAAAATCCTTTAAGAGATCTTTAGCTTGATGAGCTGGCAGCATAGCTATCAAATCAATTGCCTTCCATGAGTCACTGTTAACTTGTGTGATTGCTGTAAGGCTGCATTCTATTTTACATCTTGGAATAAAGACCTTGCCAAAAATTGCATTCACCATTATTTGTGACATTTACAAGAATATTCTCCTTGACTCGATTAAAAAGTAGGACACATTTGTCACTCCTGTCTTCTGAAATATATTTTAGTTACTGGGAGCCATTATAATTGTTTAGTGTCCAAATATGCCAGCTTCATAATTTTATCCCAAAATACTGTATATAGTTTTATTTTGCTTCTGCCTCGTGGATTGCAGTTTATTTCCTTAGCCAAGAGCATGGATAATAATTAGCAGACTACCACAGAATGACTGGAATAGACATAGTTGGCTAGTGAGGATGGGGCCATACTTGGGAATAGGGCAGTAGAAAACTCAGCATTACGATTTATCTAGAAAATCCAGGGAAAGGTAGGCAAATTAAATAAATTAAATGGATTATTTGCTGGCAAATTAATAATTAAAAACATTAATTGTACATAAAAATTCCAGAAATTATACATGAGATCATAACACTCTAAAAGATCTAGATAAAAACCTCATATAATAGATCAGAGTGAAAATATGCAATAATATCAGGACAAATACTGTAGGACAATAGCTGAATTCAGAAAAACATACTTCTGTATTAATGGAAAAAAATGACAAATGATTTTTCCTAAGAATATTAGAGAATTTATAAAGTTTGGGTTTGGGTTTATTAACATTTATAGGCCGCCCTTTTCCCTGAGGGGACTCAGGGCGGCTTACATAGGATCAGGGGAGGGTAATACAGACAGTGACGTAAACAAACATAGAGTAAAATAATAACCAACATTCATTCATCATTCGGGAGGGGCGATTATCTTTGTCCCCAGGCCTGACGGGCTAGCCAGGTCTTAAGGGCTATGCGGAAGGCCTGGACGGTGGTGAGGGTACGAATCTCCACGGGGAGTTCGTTCCAAAGGGTCGGAGCTACTACCGAAAAGGCCCTCCTCCTTGTAGTTGCCAGCCGGCACTGGCTGGCAGATGGGATTCGGAGGAGGCCCAATCTATGAGATCTAATTGGTCGCAGGGAGGTAATTGGCAGAAGGCGGTCTCTCAAGTACGCAGATCCACTACCATAAAGATCACTTTGATGCTACAAAATTGCAAATACATCATATAAACATATGAAAAAAATTAAACCTTCTAAAGGAAACAAGCCTCAACCTGTTAAGAAAATAAGAATATATTTATTGCTTACCAGAAATGAAGCAGGAAGGGGACCGGTTGGTCCTCCCTTAAAAAGAATAGTAGATCTGGAATGTTCCTACATTATCTTGCCTTTATGACTTTAAAATTTGGCTTAATCTCTGGATTAAGATGGTTTCTAGGTTATAGCTTGAGAAATTGTAATTATTTCTTCCATGCTACTACAGACATTACAAGTGAAAAGGTTTGTACTAGCAGGGTGAAAATTGTCATAATCGCCTAGTAAACCACGAAATCCAGTTGGATTTAACAGTATATAAGAGCAATAGTCTCTGTATTGCTCTTGTACTATTTCTCTTCAAACTGGTGCTGTTGACCTCACAATTCAGCTCCAAGCTACGCATTCTCTATTAATTATATCCTGCTGATGCTTAAGAATCTTTGATATCTACTGATGTAGCTGGGCCCAATTGGGTAAAAAATTGGATCTTATTTTGGTTTGTTTCACTATTTAACACCCTCTTCCCCCTATTCTGAAAAAATATTTTACTTTAATGACATTTCAAAGTTAAAAAGAAGCACAAAGTTAATCGATCCATGATAAAAATGATCAGCTTTATTCTTTTGGCTTGTTAGTAATATGGTTTATAGTTATTTATGCTAAAATATTCTTCTACATGCAATTCATCAATATATATTACTAGTCGATAGCCAAAGTAAAAGAATAGGTTCACTTCTTCCCTCTATAAACAGACAAAACAAAAGATACCCAGATACATTGATTTTCATTTTGCTATTTTGTTCTTAAAGAAAGAGGACATTCGAATCAGCCTCTGGGGACCAAATCAGAGTTATGTTATATTGTATCTAACGCAGCACAGATCAAAATGAATACTGCAACAGATGTAGCAGTAGTGAAATTCAAGACCCAAGTGTTGGTGCAAGTACTATGAGAACCAAACATTCATTAATACCACTGACCCAGAGCTCACTGCTTTCACAGGCAAATCACATACTGTCTCCATACATCTGCAATGACTTCACACACAGATTTGTTCAGCTTTTCTAACTGAAACTGCTAGGAGGCACAGAAACAAACATAGCAATAACAACCTGATTGTTCCCCACCCCCACTGGTGTGTTAAACTGTATTATAAAATACCGGTTCAAATCATTAAAGCAAGCATATCAACTGCAAGCTGATAAATCAAAGTGATTAAAAAAAATAATATAAAATATGCTTTTATAAAAAGTTTTATACATTTATATTTTAAACCAATTACCATGTTCATAGTACATCTTGTTAGTACAGTAATGTTTCGTGTCATAGAATAATCAGTTAATAAAAATTGTACAGTGGTATGCAGCATCAAATATAAATAGAATAATATTTCAACTAGTTTCTTTCAACTTCAGACACATGATTTCCCGTCTGACGGCTACAAAAAAAGATGTATCCGAGGCAACAAAGGCATTCTGCACCAATAGATATAGATTTATCTGCCAATAAAATCCAAATCACTTTAACCAGAATAAATTGTGGACTTTTACTAAATTATACACATTAGCTCCATTTCCAAGCACGTTATTCAATTAATTTAGGATTTCTCTGTTTCCCCTATAAGGTATATAAGGTGAAAAAGCTCTTATCTGAAAGTAAAAAGAGTATAGGAAAAGCTATCAACTGATCTTTTTTAAAAAAGAAAATATTCACTCAACTACAGTAAATGAGCATTCAACAACTGTAGAATTTACCAGAACTGCACAGAGGTTAAAACAGTAATTTCTAAAAATCTTGCTCATTTTTCAAAAGCTTAATAGGAAGAAAGTCTTCCTTTCTCTTGATGAGAAAGTTATGTGGGATACCTTTCCTAAGGCAGCACCTGACATCTGCACTTTTTCTAGACACAACGTAAGCACAGTATTTATAGAGTGGGCATTTAAATCAAATATTTAAATATATTTAAGAAGCTAATGTAGAACCTTTGCAGTTCTAGATGTGTTGAACAATTCTCTTTCAAATAGATATGATGATGATTCAATAATCTTTTGAGAGCTAGGCTACGCTCAAAGATCATATCCAATAATTCTAGAGCTAGTTTGGAAGAAAAAAGAAATGGCATATTTAAATAAGCCAAATGTATAATTATTTTGGCTTATTTCACTTAATTTATTAGATTACTATAGCTGCCCACTCCAGCTATAGTAATCTCTGGATGGCTTAAACATAAATTAAAAAACAACAACAGTAAAAACAATTATGACTCACATAAACAAACAATCCTGTTTAGCAAACAAATTGTGAAATATACTGATTCAGGTACGAACATTTACAATAAAAGGAGAAGAAAAGTCACCATGTTATTTGATTCGGTTTACCTAACATATATAAACTGTATAGAAACTTTATCTTGTATTATACAGCATGAATAAGTTAAAAAAAATTAACAATTATGCAACCCTGAAATTTGGACAAGTTATGACTCCTTGTTAGTTGCTTACTTTTCCATCATGCATGAGTTAGGTAGTAGAGCATGCCTTCATGCAAATCTGTTATCTATACATGTGTGAAAATACCAGTACACTAACTGGCCAAATAAATTCAAGGGATACCTGATGTGCTAGAGACTTGGTATAGCTCATAAAACACCATTTTAAGATGCTAGACCCTACTGTAGTTGTCATATTATTTTAGAATGTTGAATGAATGAATGAATGAATTAATTAATTAATTAATTAATCAAATCAGTGAATCCATGAACAAATGGTAAGAGCTACTCTTACCATCAAATTCAGTATGCTATAGTACTGTATTTTAGAATATGTAAATCTGTTAAGAGTATTTATTTTTGATTATTTTTAATAGTTCTCTTTTCCCCTGTAGAAGTAGTTACAGGAGAATACACATGAGAATGTAAAATCCTTTCGGCTTTTGCATTCTTATGTACCGTATCTCACAGGATTCAAGAATTTTTCTCCTAAGAAAGTATCACCTCAGAAAAACATTCCTCTTCTACAATAGAAACACTTGTATGTGTATATACAAACTGAAAACTAAAACCTGTGGAAGTTGAGGGCGAAGAATTGCCCAAACGTGAGAAACTATAAAAATAAAAAATAGTCAGAATTGATGGGAGTCCATGTAGCAGCTAATTCAGGTTCTTTCGGGAAAGGAAATCCCACAAATTTCCATTGAGTAACTTGAGTTATGCCAGACACCAGCCTATATTCTTAAAGCACCTACCTGTCTCTTTAAAGGTGAGTGGAGTTTAGTCAAATTCAAACAGCCAGTGGCCTGAGCAGTGATAAACCGCAAATAAAGGCTGGAATCGGCAACAGCTAATAATGAAGATTGGTAGTTCGCTACCTATGGCAGAAAGCAACACACATATGCTATTGTGCCCAACCGCCCCTCTCAGCCTGCACAAAAGAAAGCTGAATAGCCAAAGAAACATTATCTATCTTCATGGATAATGCCAAATATGTTCTCCCCAGAGATCTGAAATTCTGCTACCTGAAAGAATCACAAGCTGTGGAAACACCCTATTCTTTTCAGGGGAAGTATGTGCCTCCACTCCAGGTGGCCAACCATTCACTGTCCTTACGCTTCACTATCCAGTTGGGCTTCTAACTTGCCCACTTTTGGCTCCTTCCAATCACATGAGTTCAAGGTCTGAACTTCTAGTTGCTTACAATTCTCTTAAGCTTTTCACTGACTTTCAACTGGAAGTCAAGTCTCTTATTTTGATTCCCATCATTTCTTTTCTGGTAGGCTCAGTTTTTAGTAAACTTAGCTGGACAATATTTTTCCCCAAGGTGAGACTTGCAGGTCTGAAGGATCTTGCAGATAAACTTTGCACAAGCCTACAAATGTCTGACAAGAGTTTTAAGCCTACAATGGTCAAGTTTCCCCAATGATCATATCACTATTATAAGTAATAAAGTTAAATATATATGTATGTATATCTATATCTAAATCTGTGAAAAATCAATTCTGTTGCTGGACATAATCACGATTTGTAAACAGAAATACAACTGCACTAACAATTTTGTCAAACATGACGTAAATGGCAATTGGATACAATTACTGCAGCAAGGGAATAATTTTTGGTTGTTGTCGTGAACTCACACACACACGCACACACACACACAAGTGCTAATGCAGTCTTACAGCCTATAGTAATTTTGTGAGTCCTCTTCATCTGTGCAAGCTGGTAAGAAGAATTGTTCTTGTCCTCATAAGTCTGTTACCATACTATGCAGTCAACGATAAAATTACAAGTACCTTGGATGCATGAATATATTATGCTGATATCATATAGTAGAAATGGTCAGTTTGGCATAAGCTTTCAGTGTGTGTGGTATCAGCATTACCTTTCTGATGTTGTAAACAATTTGGTATAGATACAATGATAGGCCTACTTCAGGGTTACTTTCTATAATCCTTGTCATCTTTACCTTTTTCTTCTTTTTCTGACTTTTCTTGTTCATATTTGTCTGGTTTTGTTACACTATCATAGGAAGGAGGTGAAGTTGTGGAGGAGCTTCTTTCTGTCTTTTCCAGAGTTAAGCTCAAACTAAATTTATCAAACTCCATTTCTGCTTTGCAAGGAAAAATATTCCTGTTTAAGTATTGCACGTCAGTATTGCACACTGGTTTCCTCAGACGATAATGCCTAAAGGCTCTCTGAATAACCCTTGCCGATTGCTCCTCAAGTTTCCGTTTCAGGGTGGTTGTAATTGGTTCATAGGAGACTTTTGAGGGGTTAGCAGCCATAAACCGGTCTTCCATTTGCACTCGGAGGGAGTCCATTTCATCGCTTTCCCCCAAGACACGCTTTGTAAAGGCGAATAAGATATCCAGGCAGTGAATCCTGTCACCACTCACAATGGGCAGGTCCATTGCAATTAGCTGAACTTTGTTTGGCTTTGGTATTAGCAGAGGGGGCTCTAGCGAGGCAGCAAAATCAAAGAGCTTGCTGAGCTCTATAAACTGTGTTGCACCTGGATCAAACTTTTCCCAGACCTCGTAGAACATCTCAAAGTCATCTTCCCCTAGTGGTTCAGCACTTTCTTCGGTAGCCACACTGAAGTTCTCCAAAATGACAGCAATGTACATGTTCACTACAACTAAAAATGAGATGATAATGTAGCT